ATGAACTTAAAATGAATATTAAATTTTGACTTGTAATCTGAGCTCTGAACCTTTCCAAGATACAAAAACTAATGGTTCGTACACTTTATATCATCTACTTGTGATACAGGTAATTATCATTTCCCATCGGTTCTAAAAAAACTGAAAATAACGGTTAAAACAAGAGCCCTTCTTTTAAGAACGTGTCCATGCACCACTTCATCTTCACTTCTTCATACTTCACTCTTCTTTTGAAAATATGAAAGTGACTTTTAGTGCATTGCATAGAATCATGGCGATGTTCTTAATCGTGATATGTACATAACGGAATAAATAGTCTCCTTTAGAACCCGAAAAAACATTTTTTCCTCAACTTTTTTGAAAGGGAAAGAGTTTTTGCGGTAACCGAAATTTCCAGACAATAATTTACTACTCATGAACTTTAACTTCAAATTTTTAGTATCAAGAAAATATTGGAATTTTCCAAGGTTGTGATGAGTTTTCTGAAGCAGCTGCAGTCTGAACTCATAAAACGTTGACGCTGCTTGAAGTCATGCGAGGCATCTGAAACAGTCGAATCAAATTTATTTTCACAATCTTTATGATTGTTTCTCCTATATAAACTAAAAAATACTGAAGAAGTTGGTCAATTGAAAAAAATAAATTTACTTTTTAAAAAAACGTTCAAATCTGCTCAATGCTCTGTCGCTTAAACTGCTCTAGCTTCTAAACTACGTAGAATTGTACACTGAAATTTTAAAGTCATACTTTTGGATAGTTTTAAAATAGATATAAGAATAAATGAATTTTTTTATTGAACCCAATAAATAAAGATAAATAAAATAATTTAAGATACTATAAACAGTTGAGCTTTTTATCAGCATAAACTTTTATATTAGAAAAAATACTTGTGAAAAATTTATGATTCAAAAATCTATTAAAAACCGAAAAGTGATAAAATTGTACGGAAAGTCCACATCAATTACCGGAAAAGCACAACATTTTAAACTCATGAAAATTACGCACCGAAAATTCGGAATCTTCATCCAAAAAAATAGACTCAAAAACAAATAAAGTTCGCGCGAAAGTATTAAGCTCTCATTAATTGCTTTTCCCATTACAATTTTAAAAACTCATAACAAGACACACTCACAATGGTGTAATACAAATAAAGCTTAAAAACTTTAAACATGAGTATATATAAGAAACACCAACAGCAATATTGATGCATAAAAATAAAAACACAACAGACTTCCAGTAAAAAGTAAAATGCTTTTTAACAGCATTTACTTCCTGTTCGATAAATGAACAAAGCTGCAATTTGGCAGCAATCTAAAGCCAACAACAACAAACATTAGTAGTCATGCTGCCCAGTAGGCAAACTTGGATGGTCGCATATCCAGCGAAGCATGATTAGGTAAATATGTATATGTAAAATAAAAATAAAAAATTAAATATTACTTAAATTGTTAAAGTGTTTTTTTTCGCAGAAAGCAAGTTTTTTAGTTAGGAAAATAAAGAAAAATAGGAAAATAAAATAAAGAAAAAAAATAGCGAACAAATGGAAAAAAGTAAATACTTAAATGACAGCCTGCGGACCCACAACTGCCAATTGCTGCTAAAAATCTTATACTGTCAATCGCTCGTTGTGTAGTGTCCGCTAATCTAACAGTATATGCATGTACGAGTATGTGAGGCTTTAGGCAGTAGTGAAAACTGGTAACTATGTATTACCCATACGGCAAACCATTAAATGCGCATAAGGAGAAGCGGTGTCTGGTGCGGGCAGGATTTGTTTTGTTTATTTACTTGTTTGCAGCGCAATTATTGGTAATTAAATAGGAAATCTCTCGATTCCGCGCTCGGACATTAGTGTTTATTTTTATGGCTGCAGGTATTTTCTTCGCGTTGATACAACATGTATGTACTCTGTGTGTGTGTGTGTGTGTTCATGACGAACTTAATACCGTTATTTGAAAGTTAATTTCGCAATTTTCAGCAGAGCAGACATTTTTTCTTTCTTCTTCTTATTTTTATTTTTTTTTTTTTTTTTTTTTTTTTTGGTCTTAAAATATATTAAATAGTAAATAAGCACATTTGTACATTGGTCATATTTATTTTCACATTTTTCGTACAATTCATCGTATATTAACCACACACATACACATGCATGCCTGTAGGTATGTATGTAGCGATTTAAAAAAATACTTCTTATTTTCATATCTACTTTGGTGCACTACTTTTCGTTGCATATTTGGTTCGCCTCCTTTCGAGTTGATATTTTCTTATATTTTTCTGCATTTCGTTTTTTTTTTGTTGCGTACGCAGAAAATTCGCGTAACACAAAATTTCAAAAACCTGATATGGTGATGACTTTAAATACTTAAAAAGTGAATATAAAATAAGTAAAATCGAATTTGTAGCATACAAGAGTTGCATGAATTATTCATAATTATGTATATAAACACACATATATATATATATGTATATATTTTTGGCTTTTCATGTATGTAATCATATACAAAATGAGTTAAGCCTATATGAATGGAGGTTTTTATATGTCTATATATGTCTGTATGTAAACCATTTGGCTGATCACTTAGATATATATGTTTCCACTTATGTTTTATGTCTATTAACACATCTGTGTTCATATATTTGTATGTATTTAGGCGTTTCTGTTCGATTTTTTAGTTGCTTTTGGCCAAATGTGGTCGAGTTTCGAGCTGGTCAGACTTGTTAGCTGCAAGCAAGCCTCATTTTGTGTCAGTCAATATTGTATACACAATATATGCAGTCTTACAAACATACATAAATATATTTATGATATATACACACATTATTTGTATTCGAATTTTGATTTTATATTTTATTTAAAAAAATTCAAAATCAGTGACGACAACTCGATGAAATTGAGTAATATATTAAGAAAGCCTTGTAGTTCTATTTTAAATATTATTAAAGGGATTATTAATACCACTGTTGCATATTGAGACACTTTGAAAAGGCTTTGAAATCGATGTTATGACTTAAAATTAATCACAAACCAATATTTGTGTAATCCCAACCTTCTAAGATTTTTTAAGGCCTCCTATCAGCGCTTTAAAGTCAATATATGCAAATGCAAATGCAAATATCTCACAGGGAAATGATTGAAATACAACTAAGCTTTCTTTCAAAAGACTAACGACTTAAATACAAAAGTGTTTTCTTTTTTTTGGTATCAGCATTTCGTTAATAACTTCGCCACAGAATATTTGGCTCATAAAAATCTAGAAAATGATTTATTTAATGAACTTGTTGAGAAAAATCTAGAGTGATTTGAACATATGAACGTCGGTTTGATTAAAATGCAGATCTGTTTTGCAGAAGTTTAATAAATAAGGACAATTAAAACCCATCTTTGGGAAAAAGTTCAATAATAAAATATATGTGAGAAATATTTTATTTTGTTTGGTTTTTTACTTTTTATTATTTATTGAATTTCAGAATAACACAATTCTAATTATTGCAATTTTTTTATTTTATTTAGTATTAGATTAATTAATTGTATTTTATTTTATTTCACTTTATTTTATTTAATATTTTCTATTTTATTCAATTTAATTTTTTCATTTCATTTTATGTTATTTTGTTTTATTTTATTTTATTTTAGCTAATATTTTTTATTCTTTTTTATTTAATCTTATTATTTTATTTAATTTTTTATTTCATTTCTAGTTTTATATTATTTTATTTTATATTATATTCTTTATTTTATTTTGTTTTAATATATATTATTTATTTCATTTTATTTAGTTTTCTGTAATTAATTTTTAATTTTTTTTATTCTAATTTTTTATATATTTTTATATTCTACTTTATTTTTTTATACTTTTTTATTTGTATTTATTGTATATTGTTTTCCTTTATTTTATTTTGTTTATTTTATTAATTTCATTTATTTTTTCTTATATTAATTTATTTAATTTTATTTAGTTATTCTATTCTATTCCATATTAATTCAATTTTTTCTTAATTTTATTTGTTATATTTTATTTTATTCATATCATAAATCATTCCATTTATTTTATTTTATGTTATTTGTTTTAGTTTATTTTATTTTATATTTTTTTTTATTAATTTATTTTATTTTATTTTATCTTATTTTATTTTATTTTATTTTATTTTATTTTATTTTATTTTATTTTATTTTATTTTATTTCATTTTATTATATTAAATTTTATTTTAGTTTACTTTGTTTTTATATGTTTCATTTATTTTATTTTATTTCGGATTATTTATTTCAAATTTAACTCACTTAATTTTGTTTTTTATTTTTCTATTTGCCATTTCTTCATTCTAATTTCCCTCAAATGAAGCTGTATTCATTATGTGAAAAAGTTTTTGTATAAAAGCGAAAGTGGTACAGAATTAATTTGCTTGAAAATCAGAGTTTTATGATCGAAAATAAATTCCATTTTGAGAGCGTCGCCGTATTGTTTATCAAATATCTCATGCTATACAATTTAATGCGGGTTTTTTACCACTTTAACTGTTCATTAACTTTTCTGCACATAGAAAGTGAAATTAGAGGCGAAAAAACGAATATAAACAGCAAAATGTACATGAACATTTTCATGTATAAATTGCTTTCACAGAGGCAAATATAAGTTTCAGCGTTTCGAAAACTTAATTTGTACATATGTCTTTTATTTGCTTCTACGCATATAATGATTATTTATTCGATTATTTTCTGCAAAAAAAAAGACATAAATAAAATAAAGATCCCATGCACATAAGCGCATTCAAATGACACGTAGACGTGTGTGTTGAACGCGAATAACCAAATCAGTTATTCACTTCAACGCTTATTTGCCTATTTACGTATTACTTGCAGTTCACGTCGAGTTCGTGTCTTAAGTCTTTTGTTTCATAGCATATCAACGTTGCTACTTATTTGTGAATGTACAGTGCATTCATATTATAAATATATGGACATGTATATATATTTAAAATGATTTCCAATGCAATAACTTACCATTTCGTTTAATAATTCCTAGGCTCAATTCACCAAATTCCAATTTTTTTCTGTGTAATTTGCTTCTTTTATACGCAACACCAAAAATATAATTCTTTTATAAAAAAATAAAATTCCACAAATAGAACAATTAATCGTCTGCTTGTTTGCTCGTGTTGTTGTACAATTTATAAACAACACCACTTGAACAGTCGTTGAATTAGTTAAGCTGCAAATTGCACTAAAAGTGAGAAAAATGCCGATTAAATACCGTTAAATTTATAATTTTTGTTTGACTGTTGTAGGTGTTTGATATTTTTTCAGAGCTTTTGTCTTTTCGTGTATTATTTGCTGATGACACGAATTCTCATTATCTTTGTAAAAATTTAAAATTTAGAAGTATTTTTTTATAAAAAAAAGTACAAAAAGTGCAAAACAAATTTTTTAGATACTTTAACTAGCAAAATTGCATACACTAAAAGGAAAAAATTAAATATTATTTAAAATTCGAAAAAACGAAACTCATAGTAAACTCATAAAAAAGTAATTTGCATTTGAAAAGTGAAATCGTTGCTAACAAAGCCAATTGAGCACAGCTAAGCTTGGAATACTTTGACGAATGCACAATAAGAGTGTAAAGGCTTTTAATAGCAGTTTAGTAATAATTTATTAAAGCTTAATGATGCAAAGAAATTGACAAAATATTAAAAAAAAATTATTAAAGCTTTAAATATTTTAAATATATTATTTATTTTTTAGTCCGAACAAATATTTTCCTTTTATTAATTGTGATTTATTTTATACTGCTTCAAAACAGAGTACATAATCCTTCACATATTCATATTTTAAATTGTTTTTTTTTTAATATTTTTTGCAGTAATTTTAAAATATTTTTTTATTTATTTTTTTTTTTTTTTTAATTTCAGTTTATTTTTTTGAATCCATATACTGCATACGTAGCAAATTTATAGTTTTCTTGCTCTTTCACGTTAATTTCTGTCTGCAAGTTTTTTATTAAATTTACATATATGTATGTATTTTTAACCCAAAACTACATATACATAAAGTAAATAAAATCTCCACTTTTCTACGCCAACAATTCTTGTGCACTAACCGTTCAACTGATCTCAACCGTTGGAGTTGGTAACTGTGACTGAACTGCTCGACTTGTGCGCATACGCAGCACTTCTACGGCAAACCAGAAAAAGAGGAAAGAAAAACCAGCACCAACTAAAGAAACTCATACACACACACACACACACACACATAGTCATCTAAATGTAATAATAAAAACCGCAACTCAATGATATTGAGTTCTTTTCCATTTTAGCTCTAGTCGCATATACATAATGTGTATGTGTAGGAAACTCAAAAGCAAAAAATTCAAGCTCAAAATGTGTGGAGTCACAAGTAAATCAGGCAACCAGCCAGCCAGCCAACAAGGCGAGTGAGCTCGAAAGCCAGTTGTACTACATATACATTACCATTTTGGTCAACCAACCATCCATGCGCTTAAGCAGTAGCTGGTTTGTCGACTTTAAGCCAAATATTATTACTTGTCAGCAGTCGGCACTTGTCTATTAGATTTTGGTGTTTAAAATTCACACGTGCGTGTTCATGTGTGTGTGTGTGTATGTGGTCATAAGCTTTTGATGCTTATCTTTTGCTCAAACTTCAAAATTTTTAATTTTAACTTTTGGTTTTTGGGATCTTTTACGTTATGAGTTGAGTGGTAAAGCTTACAAAGTAACTGATGGTGCTGTGAGAAGTGAGCTTAAAGTATGTGTATGTGTATGTGGGTGTTTCTTGTAAAAGGTACTCAGGCATGCAATGGAAATATCCACCTGAGTTGAGTCTCAAAGTAATTGCATTTCTGTACGCGAAGCTCGCAAAAGCTTCAGATGTAATTTCTATTATTTATAAAGATATAAATACTTAAAAGAAAAACCATAAAACGAAAAAAAATTCAACAGTTTAATATTACTTTTCATGCTCAATGAAACTCTTTTTGATAAATCTAAACTTTTTGCTAGTCACCTAAAAATTTCTTCTCTCTCAAATTTTTCAAATTTTAAGCCTGCTTAACAAATAGATTTTTCTCGTCCCAGTGGAAGGTAGCTGAAATAGAGATGGTTTTCCACCCAGGGAGGCCAGGAGAAGGTGTAAAATCTTATCGCACTTTTAATTTCTTCTCAATCTTGTCAAGACCATTAAAAAAACTTTTTCAGAAAAAAAATTAAACCAATCAAACTAAACCGAACTGAGAAGATCAATTCCAAATCACCAAGTCGGCCTCTTCTAAACTTCAAATGGCGATTGACCGAGTTTTCAACTAGATGAAACCACGCCGCTTGAAGTTTAAGGAAGCAAAGTCAACTCATGATAGACTCCCAAATGCGAATTGGGAACTCACTTGAACAGACGACTAACTTATAGAGCACAAATCTTCGCCAAGAGAAAGAACTTGGAATAAAATTTCGTGACATGCACTGACTGTTAAACCGTCCTTCTCTGCTTTCCATGAACAACAAGCTCTCGACTTGTACAAACCCGTGCTGAAGTCAATGACAGTCATAAATATGGCTATTTTACTCTGAAACAGAGGATTTGTATTATCCTAGTCAACCCTGTCATAGTGCAAAATCTTCCTGAGTTTGGATTCAGTATTATTGCATTGCAGCTCAGTTGAAGTTTGCAGCACAGATTTTGAGAGAAAAACTTTGAGAAGAGTTCCATAGCTTTTGAAGAGCTCTGGTAACAAGGATTAAAATCGCCCACTGAACTCTGTAAAGTTTTCTCCTAAAGGTGGTTTTTACGAGCACTTGCCATAAGACAAGTTGGGTTTTGCTACCGCGACTCCCATCAAATGAAAATTAAACATTCGTTGTCTAAGTCTTGTTCACTTGTAATTTGGGGTATTTCCCTGTCGCTATTTGAAGAAGATTATCGGCGTATGCTACTACTGCCAAGTGAGTGACTTTACTATGAAACTAAAACACTTCAGAGACTACAAAGCGTCATTATCCAGGGATAATAATTTTAAATAAAATGCTTTTTTTTTCTTATAAACTACGATCCATTTGAGATAATGTTCCACCCACTATTTGCACATAACTTCACAAATTTAGGCTTTCCAGTGCTCAAGATTTAAAGGTGTGTTCGCACGGTCTTTGTCGTAGTTCCACAAAAAAAAAGTTTAACAATGTCAAATCGCACGATTCATAAAACATCGCGAAGACGAGGGACGCAAATAGGAAATTTCTCTCGAAATAAAGTCATATTCGCTCGCGTTGTCTGGCATGTGGCACGATCTTGTTGAAATCACATATAATATTATTCAATTCATTTTGCTCGAAAAATCGCCGTCCACTTCTTTTGTAGTTCAAACATCAAATCAACGTATCTACAACTTTGTGAATCGTCAATTGACTTCCATTGTTGTGTGAGCTGGACTTTATATGGATTTAGGTGTAACTCCAAGCACAAAATATGCCATAATGGGGCGTTTGAAAATCTCAGCTTTTGAGAACTTTGGGAAAAAGACACCTTCATTTTTTCCAGCTACACTTTCCCCTTTTGTAGCGAAATTTGAAACAAAACGAGCAAAACAATGACACACAGACCTTACAGCATCTGTAACTGATATAGAGTATGCAAAATTATTTAAAATTTTAAGAATTGCTTGAGTAGAGTTGGACGATTATGTGCGCCATAATCTGATTTTAAAGTTCGAAGCATCATTTTTGTAGAAAATTTTAGAAATTTCAACGCATTGTGCGGCTATTAAGCGATCGATTTTCATGAATGGTTGATTATTATCTAAAGCAAAACATATTTGGTTTTACAGTTAAGTTTGACAGATGTCAAAATACACCTCTGTATTTTCGAAATCACGAATTATTATTCGTTCCCAAATATGTGCTTTATACCAGAGAGACCATCCAGTATGAGTGTCTGCTAAATTATTGATTTAAATTTCATTTCAATTTAATTCAAGGAAATATATGATTTATCTTCAAAAATGTTTCCAAATAAGTAAAATCTTGAAACTTGGTATGACCACAAGCGTGTAAAAAAAGCGAAAAGAAAGATCTTTTCAAAATTGAAAATGAAAGATCTCCACTTATGTTCGATATGCACTTTATTTAACTCTCTCATTTCAGACGTATTATTTATGCCTGAATAAATATGCATATACACAGCATGTTGAACTTATATTTGTCAATATCATCTTTCTTCGAAACAACGAGTTTTCCAATAGTAGTCAGATGCTCTTAGCAAATTACGAAATTATCTACTAATCGATTATAAGCTGTCGAGCTTTTGAATAAAATTAACATACATAAATTTTTATTTAAAGCAAATAAGTTATGTATATATATATTTACGCGCACAAATAAATTGAAGTTTTACTATTATGAAATTAAAATTCATAATTTTTCAACAGTTTAATATTACTTCTGTGACATTAAACATTTGTGATAATTATATGCGCTTCAATATCAAAATTTAAATTAAAAAATATTTGTGGGTATGTTGAAGGAGGAGATTCAGAACTTGTCTAAAAACAGCGTCCTAACAGCGACTGCAAGTTCTAAGTGATATATTCTTAAACGTATAAAACACCAATTTTAACTGGCGTACGAAGATGATATTGATATGATTGGCCTCAAAAACTACGCCGCGAGTTCCGCTTTATCCAAACTGGTGACATATAGATACTAGTTGGCAGAATCGATTGCGGCGTTCACTCTGAACCACTTTCAAAGGTGACAATGAGATGAAGGGAAATCTTAAGTCTTAAACAAAATATTTGTAAAACGACCGTGGTTCGGGTCTCCGAACATAGAAATATGCTATTAAATTGCGAGGCCGACGAGCTGGCAGAAAAAGGTAAACGATTCTGGCATACCTCTAGCAAAACACCTGCTAAGATTGTCTTTCATCAGCAAATCTGATAGAAGATGGCAGTGTTGAGCCATATACAATGGAACTAGGCAGATCTGGTCATTGAGAAATGAAAAAATAACTAGAGACTTAGTTGCTTCTAAACAGAAACTTCGCGAGCATAACAACCGGTTTAATAACGGAACACCGTTTATTGAGAAGTCATGTATGTATGGCCTACTTCTAATTCTACTTCTCTAATTCTACTTCTCTAATTCACTTCTCGCGAGTGCAAAGATATAAACAGGGCCCTAATTGCGACCCGGTACTTCGTTTGCCTTGTTAATATTGCGTTAGCAAATGGCAATAAGGTTGTGTATTTTATAAAACAAACGAAATGACTTCAGTCTCTAGGTAGGTGAAGAAATTCATTTCAGAATAAATCGACAAATCTATGTTCCCTTATCGACAACATGGTAATCAAAATTATCTGGAAGACAATCAGAGCATATAGAGCAAAAATTCTTAATTTTGACGCTGCTTGGGAAATTTAATGATTTTTTCTAATGATTTTGTAATTAATAGAAGCTGTGATTGCCGACGGTATACAATACCATACGGTTGTGAAAAATTAAAAAGAAAAATATATTCTTTCGCCCTGCCTGGGATAAGGCACGATACCCCTTCGTGTTACTGCTAACAGAAACATATATGCAACTTGAAGTTAAAACTGTATACACTTTTAAATACATACATATATACTGGTATGTGACACAACAAAAGTCATATGTTACAACCACACCTCAATTTGGCCAACCCAATCCATCGTAAGTTAATTAATTTATGTTGCACATGGAATGACTCCCGAAGTCAGACCCTTGCACTCACATCTCTAACATACGCACGTGTATGAATCATGCTGTTCTGTGACACAAACATACTCGTACTTCCTACCAAATGTACATGTGTGCAAACATAATTACGAGGTATATGCAGATAGTAAGTGCTCTGAGACTCACACGTTTGGAGGGATTTTATTTTCATCATATTGGCAAGACGGTAGTGCAGCCAGGCATCTTCCCTATACAGAGAGACCGATTTGAGATCAGTATGTTGGGAATTGTGCAGGAACAATCTAGTACACCACCCTGTGCGAAATACACAGCGTCATCCGTTGTCCCGTTTGGGAGGAAAACCCTCTGCGTTTGAGGTGAAAACTGCATATATTAATAAAGCTATGAATTGTGGAAGTTGGTATAAGTGGTATTGTGAGCTTGAAAACGTTAGTAGG